GGCGGGGCGGCGGCCGGGGGCAGCATGCCAGTGTGCGAGATCTTGAGGAAGGGGACCAGGCACTGCCAGGGGTACACGCGCACTTCTTTGGGACCTGTAGACACAGACAGAGAGAGACAAACATGAATTACTGCGATCTGCACATAGCTGTCAACTTTTCCAAATCACAATACTGACGGTGACACACGGGTACACCCGCACTTCTTTGGGACCAGTAGGTATACACAGACACAGAGAGAGACAAACATAAATTACTGCGATCAGTACATAGCTGTCAACTATTCCACATCACAATACTGACGGTGACACACGGGTACACCCGCACTTCTTTGGGACCAGTAGGTATACACAGACACAGAGAGAGACAAACATAAATTACTGCGATCAGTACATAGCTGTCAACTATTCCACATCACAATACTGACGGTGACACACGGGTACACCCGCACTTCTTTGGGACCTGTAGACACAGACAGAGAGACAAACGTGAATTACTGCAATATGTACATAGCTGTCAACTTTTCCAAATCACAATTTCGGGACCCGTAGGTATACACAGACATAGAGAGACAAACATGAATGACAGTGATCTGTACATAGTACATAGCTGTCAACTGTTCCAAATCAAAATACTGACAAAACAATGAAGGGGAAACAATTAGCCGCAGCGTGACTTATTTTCTCATAGTAATGTTTTTAGTTTTGGCAGAGGTTTTACGTCGCTCGCAATTGCATCAGGCCATATAAGCGCCAGAAGATTAGAGGTGTTACAAAAGAGTAACAAACACAAAATAGAAGTAAGGGAGAAAAGGACGACATATGTTTGAATGGAAACAAGGAGCAAACCACACCTGAGCACCCGCCAACAACCCGCCACTAATTTTTAAAATTTAATATCTTTACGAATGCACATTGAGCATTTTAGGAAAATGGAAAAGCGCAGAATTTATGCTATTATTATTTAGTATGATTATTATCATTATCATCATCGTCATCTTCATTATCATCACCATATTATTATCATTATTATTGTTATTATTATGATTATATATTATGTGCCATAATGATGCGTGTATTTACATAGCTGTCAACATCTCAGAAGCACAACACAGACTTTATTTACACGGGTACACGCGCACTTTTTGGGGACTGGAGATAAACAGACACAGAGAGAGTGAACAGTTGTTTTTTTTTTAGTGCTTTACGGCATATGCAACACAATTAGGTCATATAAGTGCCCGCAATCTAGGTTAGCCCCCCTTGTGCTTAAAAACGACCAAACACATAAATGCATTGACATATCACATTACCCACACACAAAAACACAGATTACTACAAACGCCACTGCTGGACGGTACAACGACGTATCCATTTAGCCTGGGTCGGCCCAGACAGGCAGGGTCGGGAAATCCGACTCATTATTGATCTTAAACGTGTCAATGAGGGAGTAAAATAACAACAA